CAAAATTATTTTTCGTTGTTTATTGCATCTTTCATTAGCTGCGAAGGTGATCTTTGGTGAAGGAGTCACTAAAGAAGGCTCATACTGACTCGGATAACAGCATGTAAGGAGAATTCGTTGATGGAAGGAGAGACACACATGCGGTGCAATGAGATCTTTCACTGACAAGGTGTCACCTACGCAGTTGGGCTTTCTCAAGTAACAGAGCGAAATGACGTGACCAAAGGATCTCATTGCACTGCATTTGTGTCTGTTGCAGTCGAATTGGTATTTTATAACATCTTTCTCTAAAACTGAGTTATAATTATGGGGAAGTCACCACAATGACAACTCTACTGATAAGTGGACTTATCGGCCGCTTAGGGGCCCTGATTACTGAGGGGGCTACGACTACTGAGGGGCCCTTACTAATAAGGGGCCTCTGGTCGTTAAATATTCTAACACTAGGCTTGCATAAGTTAACAGCATAGAGCTTAAAACCGAATTTACCTTCGATGTCCTCCTAGGCACAGGTGTACAGGAAATTATTTCACAGGCGCTGTATGACTCCTGTAGGTTTGGTGTTTCTCTTATTGAACATACAAAACAGTACAGGAACCTCAGTAACAAGGACAACATCTCGTATTGTTGTTCATGCCATTTATCTGCGAAACTTATTTTCAAAGCTACCTTATGAGTTAGCTCCAGGTTGTTTCACTCATCTACAAATCTATTGCTAAACAATTACTTTCCTATAGCACTACTTCGAAACAATAGTTTCGAGCTAGCGCTTTCTTGGTTAGAAATTTGTATTACCCTGTTTATGGATATTAAGTTTATGTCTTCCATTAATGTACTTCAGTCATATCTTCCTTCATTCTATGTCCTTCATGTTTAGGTCTCTCAGTCCATCTTCATATGAAAGATTTCTTATTCAGTAAATTTTGTCATCCACTGCATGTTTTTTCAGTGCACTTATATCCATTCTGTGGTGACAAGAACTAAGCCGCGTAATCTTAGTAAGATCTTACTAATAATGGACATAGCTGTAGAATAACGACCATTAGAGTTATTACTCATGCTCCATGATACCAGTTGAGATAGGCTTATTACACATGTTTAGGCACTGTTGTCTTGATTTGAGGTTTCTGTTTTCCATGTATTTAAAGCCTTCTCTCGCACTCTGTATGATCAAACGCTGTGTAACCTGGTTTATGAGTGATGTCAGCTAGGCCTGTATACCTTGTACATGTACTTGTAGAAATAAATATTATTATTATTATTATTATTATTATTATTATTATTATTATTATTATTATTATTATTATTATTATTATTATTATTATTATTATTTAACTAACTGTCAGATGAAATTAAGACACATGTGCAACATCTGGGTATCTTTATTGTAGACGTTTCGCCATCAGTGGGTTTATTTAAAACAATTCCAGGACATAAATTGGAGACAGTAGAACATGACTACGGGGTTCTTTGCAAACCCAAATCCAAGGCTGAGGGTCTGGTTACCTCATCTTCTGATATAATTCTAATGTCTTCAAATTATGTCCTGGAATTTGTATTGATAAAGCCACTGGTTGGCGAAACGTCTACAACAGATACCCAGATGTTGCACACGTGTCTTAATTTCATATGTCGGGATTGTGTACCATTCTGGTATAACTGTAAGATGTCGGCTTCAGTGCTGATGTTTACAAACCTTTCGTGTCTTCCAGGTCAGGAAGTTCGGCATGATAGAAGAGAAGGTGATGGTAAGCAGTGTGCTGCGCAAGTTCCGAATTGAGAGTATCACTTTCCAATAAAAAACCTTAAACCCCCTTACGAGATTGTCCTCAAACCCAAGGATGGAAACCCACGTCCCTCTTTCCCCCCAGGACAGCAAGAGCCCGACCTCACCGGGGCACAAAAGGTGAAAAGAAAACAACACCGGTGTGGGGGTTTGGGGGTTTTGATAAAAAACAATCCTTTTGTGGCCAAAACCGGGGGCGAAAACACTCAAGCTGACACGAAACCGTCTTTCGTTTCATTTGAAGCTTTATGCAAAGTACAAAAACATTCTGAAATGTTTTTTTTACATTTTTTTTAGAAAATTCCCCTTTTTTAAAAAAATAACTCTGTATAAATATCACTTTTTAGCAATAAAGACATTAAATTTACCTAATTTTAATACAAATGACTCATCCCCAAATTGTTTAAATTTTTAAAATTGTTTTAGAAAACAGGCCCCGACGACAGGTAAAAATAAAAAGGGTTACAAAAAAAAACCTTTTAGATGGGAAACAAAAAAAAGGTTTTTTTGGGTTTATGTGCCCAAACATAAAAAATTAAATTAGCTTACACCCAAGCCAAAAATTAAAAAACAAAAAACTGGAGTTTCAATGGTTTGAAGTGCTGTTTCCCAAAGCCCAAAACCCAATCAAGGGAAGGAACTAGTTACCGCCCTCCTACCCAGGCCCGTTCTTAAAAAAATTTTTCCAGAGTCTTGTCGGGGTTAAAAACCCAATTTGGGCGAGAAAATGAAACGGGGCCCGACTTTCAATATCGTTTTCAGCCAAAATAAGGGGCAAATGCAAAACGTATAAAAAAAATTTGGGTTTTTAAAAAATTTTACATCAATAATTAATACCCCAACCCCGGATCCACAGTTCTCAAAACCCCAGAGGCGTGGGTAAGGGGGGGGGGGGGGGGGGGGGGGGGGGGGGGGGGCCGCCCCGGGTGACCCCAAATTTGGGGGGTTGACCCCATTGGGGGGGTTGACACCCTAACCCCCTTAAAAAAAGGTAACACTAATGACCAAAACCAAACTGCAGCAACCTAAGAGAAAATTTTTTTCGTTTCTAAATAGGATTACCAAATACAAAAAAAGGCCTATTTTAGGGAAAAACATTTGGTTTTTATGAGGTTTATAGATAAATTTTGCAGGAATTTAGGCAATGAAATATCGAATTTTTTGAGATGTTAAAAACCGTACTTAAGGTCAAATCGGAACAAAAGGGTTTTTTTTTATTTTTTCAAGTTTTTTTTTTATTGTTGAAGAGAATAAATGAAAGGGTGGTTTTGGGGGTCATGCAGCCCTGATGTAACTGGGAAGCTGCAGTGATGAAACTGGTCATTCAGCAGTGATGGGAACTGGTTTATGCGTAAATAAGGGAACTGGCATGCAAACAAGGGTGTAAATGGTCATGCAGCAGTGATTGATGGCAAACAGGACCCGTGGGTGTAACGGTCCTGCAGCAAGCAGGGTGGAATGTAACTGGGCATTCAGCGTGATGTAACTTTACATTCTATTTATGTAAATGGTATGCAGCATGATTTAACTGGGATGCGCAAAAAACTTTGTTATGTTTTAAAAAGGGAAAGCAGCGGAGGGAACTGGCATGCAGCATTTATGTAACTGGTCAAGCGCAGGGTGTTTAAAATGGCCAGCAGTGGGGTTTAAATGGTCCTGCAGCAGTGAAATTTACTGGTTTAGCAGCATTTAAGTAAAATGGTCATGCAGCAGTGATGTTACGGGGCATGCAGCAGGGGTTTTATGGGAACCCCCCTCATGCAGCAGTTTTTTTTTAATGGTTTATGCCCCAATGATTTAACTGGTCCCTGCAGCAGGTTGATGTAACTTGGTTAAAGCACTTATTAAAAGGTCATGCAGCAGTGATTTTAACGGTTAAAGCAGCAGGGGAAGGACTGGTCATTTCAGCGTGGAAAATTTAAATTTTTCATGCGCAGTGATGTGGGCTGGTTTAAAAAAGCAGTGATGTAACTGGATGCAACTTGATGTGGGAAGGTAGACTTTTTGGCAGCACAGTGATGTAAACTGGTTCTAAAGCAGCAGTGGGTGTTATGGTTTATGCAGCAGGGGATGTAACTGGAAAGCAGCGTGATGTGGGCTGGGTTCCTGCAGTTTATTTAAATGGTCCCTGCACAGTGATGTGACTGGTCATGCAGCAGTGATTTTACCCCCTCATGCAGCAGTGATGTTAAATGGTTTATGCAGGGAGTGAAATTTAATGGTCAAGCGCCAGTGATGTGACTGGGCATGCAGCATTTATGTAAATGGTAAAGCAGCAGGATGTTACCCGGTCAAAGCAGCAGTAGTAATGGGCATGCAGCATTGATGGGGAATGGCATGCGCAGTGATGTAACGGTTTATGCAGAGTGATTTGAAATGGTCATGCAGCAGGGAGTAACTGGTCAGGGACAAGTGATGTGGGTGTAATTTCAGCATTTTGGGAATGGTCATGCGAATGAAGTTATGGTCATGAACAGTGATGTAACTGGTCATGCAGAGTTTGTGACGGCAAGCAGCATTTATTTAACTGGGCATGCCCGCGTGAAAGTGACTGGTCATGCACAGTGAAAGTAAATTTTTCAGGCCAGTGATTGATGGTTTATGCACAGTGATGTAACTGGTCATTTCCCCAAAAGGGTGTACTGGGCATGCAGCCCGTGATGTAAAATGGTCATGGCCGGTGATGTGAATGGTCAAGCAGCTGGTTTTAAATGGTCATTTCAGCTTTTGTGACTGGTTTAAAGGCACATTTTTTAATGGTTTATGCAGCAGTGATGTTCTGGTTTATGAAACATGATGTAACTGGTTATTTCAGGGAGTGATTTAATGGTCATGCAGCAGTGAATTTTTAAATGGTCTGCCGCCCGTGATGTAAATGGTTTATGCAGCAGTGATGTAAATGGTTATGGGAATTTAAATTAAATGGTCATGCAAACAATTTATTTTTAACTGGTCATGCAGCAAATTATGTTACTGGTTATGCAAGTGATGTAACGGCAAACCGCAGGGGATGTGACTTTGGGCATTTCCAGGATGTAACTGGTCATGCAACCCGTTAAAAAGAAGGTCATGCACATTTATTTAACGGTCATGCAGCAGTGATGTGGGCTGTTTACAGCAGTGATGTAACTGGGCATGCAGGAAGTGATTTCTGGTCCGCACAGTTTATGTAATGGTCCTGCCGCCCTGATGGGATGGACCCTGCAGCAGGATGTAATGGTCATGCCCCGCAAGTGATGTCTGGTCAGGCCCCGCAGTGATGTAAATGTTCTGCCAAACCGTGATGTTACCCGGGCATTTCCCGCAGTGAGGTTTAATGGGATGCAAGCGTGATTGACGGTCAAGCAGCATTTAGTAAAGGCATGCAGCATGAAATTTACTGGTCATGCAGCAGGATGTAACTGGGCATGCGCAAGTTTATTTGACTGGTCCAAAAGCAGCAGTGATGTAACTGGGCCCTTGCAGCAGTGAAGTGCGGTTTATGCAGCATTTATTAACCCGGGTTTAAGCCGCTTGATGTTAATGGTTTATGCAGCAGTTTTTTTTTACTGGGTCATTTCAGCCCGTTTAGGCCCGGTCATGCAAAAAGTGAAAGTAAATGGGAAAGCCAGTGGGTGTGACTGGGCTGCAGCAGTGATTTAATTTCAAGCACAGTGATTTGACTGGGCCCGCCAACGTAAGTAACTGGTCATACAAAAGTGATTTTACGGGGCATTCCCGCAGTGTGTAACCCGGGACATGCAGCAGTGATGTGATTTGGGCATGCAGCAGTGATGAATGGCATTCAGCATTTAATTTAAAGGTCTGCACATTTATTTAAATGGTCCCGGGGCAGTGATGGACTGGTTTATGGGACCGTGATGAAAATGGGTTTTATGCAGGGAGTGATGTGACGGTCCCGCAAACAGTGTGTAAAATGGTCATGGGGCAGTATTTTAATTGGGCCCGCGCAGTGAGTAATGGGCATGCAAACAGTGATTTCCCCTTTAAACAGCAGTGATGTAAATGGTTTATGCAGCAGGATGTAAATGGCAAGCACATTTATGTAACGGCATGGGGTGCAAGGTAAAATGGTCAAGCAGCTTTATGTAACGGTCTGCGCAGTGATGTAACTGGGCATGCAGCGTGAAGGTTTAATGGGCATGCATCAGTTTATGGTTTAAATGGTCATGCCCGCAGTGATGTAAAAGGGTTTTGCACGTGATGTAACGGTCATGCAGCAGTGATGAACGGTCATTTCAGCAGTGAAAAGTTAATTGGGCATGCAGCAGTGATTTAACTGGTTTTAAAGGGAGCAGTGAAGTAAATGGTCATGAGCAGTGATGAAAATGGTCATTTCAGCAGGATGTAACGGTCAAACGCCCGTGATGTAAAATGGTCAACCCGCATGATTAACCCGGGCATGCCCCAGTGAGGGAACTGGTCAAGCAGCTTGATTAACCCGGTCATGCAGCAGGAAGTTTAAATGGTCCAAAGAAGCAGTGATTAACGGTTTTTAGCCCCCCCCCTTGGGTTTAAGGATGCACAAAGGTTTTAACCCCCCTTTCCCCAAAACTTCCACCCTGGTGAAAAAAAGATTCCCCCCCCCCCCCGGGTTTTGACACCAAAGATTTCCAACCCCCCCCGGGGGACACCAAAGGTGCCAACCCCCGGGGGAAACCAAAATCCACCCCCCCGGTTTACAAACCCAAAATTTCCACCCCCGGGGGCCCCCAAAGAAGCCCCCCCGGGTGACACCCAAAAATGCCACCCCAGGGGGGACACCAAAGATGCCAAACCCCTTTTACAAAAAAAGAACCACCCCCCGGGGGGACACCAAAGATGACCCCCGGGGACACCCAAAAGGGCCCCCCCCCGGGGGGCACCAAAATTCCAAACCCCGGGGACACCAAAAAATGAAAACCCCGGGGGGAACAAAAAGGGGACCCCCTTTACCCCCCAAAAGCCACCCCGGGCCGAAACCAAAAGTCCAGGGGACAACCCCCAAAACTTTGGAAATTTTTATTTTTTCCC